TCTGGGCGCCATGAATCCTCAATTTCCGTATCTTGGTCGGTTTTGTGCAAAGGAAGACGACAAGACGGGAACGCCCACTCATGTGGTCATGCACTATATCCAATGTACTGAAAAATTCTCCTCATGTCTTCAAATTCAAACCACAGAGATTTGGGAAACGGCCCCCCGTAGCAAATCCCCACACCAGTGCTATTACTCCTTCCCTCCTCGTGAAATTGGTTAACTTTTCTCTTATCATTAAAGTTGTCTTAAAATAAATAAAAAAAATCTGTTTTACTCCTAGAAAATGACAATGTTATCCTTAATGTTAAATTTTATTATCTCTCATCTTTCTCCTGTATTTAATAGGAGTAAAAAATGAAAAAAAAATCATATTAATTATTTGCATAATATCTTGTATTTTGAATCACAATTTTCTTCTAACCAGTATCTTATATTATGGATCAAAGAGAATATATATGTATGCTTCATTTCTTAGCTTTTAATTAGTATAAACATCAATGGTATTTCATAAAAGAGAGAATTATTATAAAGTTTTAAAGAAGAGATTTAATTACTAAAAATTCCAAATCACAAGTAAGCGATTTACATGTGTTGTCATTTTTTACACCTAAACTTGTTATTACAAACTTTTTAATTGTTAATAAATTTTTGAGTAACTGATATTTTTTTTGGACCTAATATTAGTTGTCCCTTTCCTAAAATTTCCCAACACAATATTTGTGACACTTTCAGTCATTTTAGTTATGCACAAGATTTTGCTTTTATCGATTAATTTTATAAGTTTATATATAATTTTATAAAGGTAAGGCCATATTTTTTAATAATTAACTGGTTTAATTTTAGACAGGAAACTTCCTGGGACCCGATTTTGGCGGAAAGCACGTTTCCCCTTCAAAAGAAGGGAAAAAAGCCGCACAAATAAAAACATCAGCATTTCTTATATTACACACTTGGTACGTATTTTTCCTACTTTGATTAATTATTTTCAAAATTAGACTTGTCAAGAAGACTAAATATTTCTTTTTTTTTGACCGAAAAGAAGACTAAATAGTTAAAATATATGAACGTATGTATCTTAATTTGCGTTCATCAAATAACATATAAAAAATTAAAATGTATCTGACTTTCTTAATGTATATTCCAATGAGTTTTTTTCCTTAAAAAAAAAAGTGGACCTATGAAGATGAAAGTATGAACCCCGGGCTGGTCCCAAAAAAAGAAGAAGAAGAAGAAGTGTGAACCACGGGAAATATGGTTCAGGAAAAAGAAAAGAAAAGAAAATTAAACATGAAAAGTTTAGACTAATTAAAAAGCAGATGATTAATTTTCATGAGACACGCGCCAAAAGGTGTGATCCTCATGGGCTTAATTAGATAAGTTACACGACATTAGGTATTATATTTCTATTAATTAGCTTAATCATCCAGCAAAGGCTTCACTGTTCCCTCTTTTAAATTAATCTTATGCATTATGGGTTATTTTTGCTTTTTGAGAGCTTTTAAAATACTTGGCACTTAATTTTATATCAAAATTCAACGTAAGCCCACGCACGCCTCACTGTCATGACCATTTGGAATGTTTTCCAGTCAAAATAAAACATTGAATTAATCTACACATCCCTTTTTCTCAATTTTCAACCCATTACATCAATTTTTTAACGATACATATAAATTTATATTTTGAAAATTTATCAATTATTACACTGCCAGCTTGGGAGAGTTCTGAAATAAAAAAAACATCTTTAGGTATATTATAAGACAAAATTCTTCTAATATATTTATCTTTTTTTTGGTAATCGATGTAAATATAATTATGGAGAGACCAATTGCCTTTTTTTCTAAGTACAAATAGGCCATGCACACTACATCGTAAGGAATTATGAAAAGAAACCGTGCCTTGTTTTAAATAACCAGTCCATGATGAGTGCCCCAAACAAGATGGGTAAAAAGCCAATTAACAGATCACAACCCACTTATCTACATGGACAAAGAAACCAAAGAAAAAAAAAACCGCAGGAAATAAAAAGTATAGCCCAACACCCCCCAAAAAGAACAAAGAGAAAATATTGTTAAAAACTTCAAATTTACGATATAAGCTAAAAAGCAAAACAGCGATGTGTTTTTTTTTTGAATAAATTATGAGAATCAATTACCTTCCCAGTAATAAATAAAAATAAAAAGCAACTTAAAAAATGTATACTTAAGGGTTTTCTCACAAAGTTTTACAGTTCACCGGTAATTGGTGAAAAAGCATGAATTTTAAACCCTGTCGTAATTATGTTTGTACGGATATGCCGTCAATTTTGTAGTTAATTAGACGCATGGTGAAATTGCCTGATTCGATAAATGCACTTTAAAAAAAAAAAAATACTACCCTCAGTAAACATATTTTCTACTTATCTATACGAGAAAAGCTTCAGATATTGTTAAAATCTAAGTGGACTCATGTAACAATTGTAAGCAAAATTTAAAATTAATCCAGCATCCAAGGTGACATATTTTTGAAAACTTCCAAACAATATAACCAAGGGGAAATCTCAAAAGAATACTTCTAAAATTTCAAAATCTTACTTTTCAAATGTTGTCTATTATTATTAGAGTGTAACCCTTGGTTAAATACATTGATGCTGATGTTGATATATTGATTCGATGAATATATCATGCACTTGTTTTTAAACATGATTTATTTATATTCATTTGAATTCGATTTGATACAAAAATATGAAACTCATATTTAGACGTATTAAAAAATTCGCCGATGAAATTTCTATTGTTTAAATTTATGCATAAAAAATAATAAAAACTAAAAGGAACACTTTTCTTACAATCATATTTGCCGAAGTTAATTTATTTATGCACGACTAAAAATTCTTAAAGAAATTTGAATATAATTATCTAAATATTCCCATGGTAATATTCCTAAAGCATTCTTTCAAGTATTAAAAAAATATAAATTGAAATTAAGATATGGCAAAGTAACTTAACAAAAAAAAATTATATATGACACTCTCCTACATTGGTCTATTTATACAACATGATTTGTCAAAATAAAAAAAAAACTTTGAACTTTATTAAGTACTTATCTTAAAATTTAATAACTTTTCAACTGTATCTTTATATAATATATACTTTATAATTTATACAGTCATGTAACGTATTTAATTTTGTGATATATAAATATGACCCAAAAAAAGCTCTGATCAGAGAAATAGCATTAAATCAATTTGCTTCTACTAATCATATATATAGCTATCTCATTAATTCCAGAAAAATAAATAACAAGATATTCTTCCAGTCCTATTTATATTGCATCTCCAACGTGTTTTGCACAGATTAAGAAAAATTTTAAACTGTATTAATTTTCTTTTAAAATATAATAACTTTCTAGCTTTATCCTATTTAATATATACATCTTTTAAAAATAACCTACTTTTACACTATAATAAATGAACAACAAAATAGTATATTCATGTTAAAAATTAAGTGAGGTGACTTATAAATAGGAGTAGATGAGTAATATTTCTTCTTTCTCTCAAACTTTTCAGTGAAAAAGAAACTTGTATAGTGACTACAATGAAGCATGTTATAAGCAAGTTCACGGGAAATTTCTTGCCTCACAATTTCCACAAATAGTGTTGTCCATGTTAGACTAGTTCTCTTTCCTAAAGGAACAAATACCTAACATTTATGCGCATATCCAAAAGCAAATCCCGTACTTGGCAACTTCTTAATTACCTGTACATGAAAAAAAAAAAAAAACCATCAGGTATTACTTCAGGAGAGATCAGATTTTACTGTCAAGAGAGTATATATATATACACTTCTTATATCTCACCAAATACACCATCACCAGTTCACTACTATACATAGAGTTTTCGAGATAAATTCTTTAATCATTAAATTTCTAAACTTATACTCATCAAATACACCACCAGTTCGCTACTATAAATAGAATTTTTGAGATAAATTCTTTAATCATTAAATTCCTAAACTTCCCATATCTCACCAAATATAAACCACCAGTTCACTACTATATATACATAGAATTTTTAAGATGAATTCTTTAATCATTAAATTTCTATACTTTTTATCTCACTTTTTATATTTTGAATTTTTTTCAATTAGGTCATATAGATGAATTACTTTCTTACTTTTTTCCATATCATTATTTTTTATCAATATTTTCATTTATCATACACATGCTCAGTTTTCCTCGTCATGTATGAGTTTGTTATGCATTATTATTTATCCACATACATATTTAGATTGATGAGAAAATAATGCATAATTAATTATGCTCATATATTTTGTAGGATATTGATATAATTTTAACAGCAGGACTGATGTAATAAGTCTGCATATGAGAAAGATGTAATTGCAACTCTTAAATTAATTATAGGGATGCAAGGAAAAATTGAATGAAACCACAGAGGATAAGAACTGCAACTTCTTTTCTATTTTCTAGCACCTTTTTTGACCAAAAATAAGTCATCATGCTACTTTCAAAGAAATTCCCCAAAATCTCTTCTGACTTTTTGATTATTTATTATTTAAAATAAATTAGAAAAAATATTAAAATATTAAAAAAATCAGAATCATAAATACCTTAATGTATCGTGATATTATTAATATTAAAAGTAAACTTGTTAAATTATTTTTAAAAAAGAACATTAATATTTGGAACCAATGAGTACGCAAGTGTTTTTTATGCACTTGATAATTCAAAAAAAAAAAAAGGAAAGAAAGAAATCTTTTGAGATCATTTTTAGACGCAAGCAAAGCGCATCATGTTCAAATATTCTGCCAGTGTTTCCTGAGGCCGGTGGTGTACCATGCTTTTTCCATCACCACTCACCTATAAATTCTCATGTAGTCTCTCTTATTTCTCCTGCACTACTACGAGATTTCTAAACACAATCTTTCATTCTTCGTCTCCATTTCTTGCTATTCCAGCTATTTCATATAGTGTGGTCCTTCATCTCGCTTCAAATACTAAACATGGGTTTGGAGATTGAGAGCAATCACCTTCTGTCCAACATCGCTGTCAATGGCAAACATGGCGAAAACTCTGCTTATTTCGATGGATGGAAGGCTTACGAAAGAGACCCATTTCACCCCAAAAACAATCCTCAAGGGGTCATCCAGATGGGTCTTGCAGAAAATCAGGTTTTTTATATATACATATACCTCCTGTAACTCTACTTGTATATCTCTATGATCTAAAGGTGATTGATAAGTTGACTGACTCGTATAAATGTATGGGTTTGTTTTTAATTCTTTTCCACAGCTCTGTTTTGATCTGATAGAAGAGTGGATAAGGAATCATCCGGAGGCTTCCATTTGCACTCCTGAAGGACTACGCCACTTCAGAGATGTTGCAATCTTTCAGGACTACCATGGCCTTCCCAAGTTCAGGAAGGTGTGTGTGTGTGTGTGTGTGTGGTGATTATGGTTGGATAACTGCTAGAACCTATATGGTATATGGTTGAATCAGAGTTGATAATGGGTTTGCTTCGTGTTGTTTGCAGGGGGTGGCAAATTTTATGTCCAAAGCGAGAGGTGGAAAGGTGAAATTCGATGAAGATCGAATATTGATGAGTGGAGGGGCCACAGGCGCTAATGAACTTGTCATGTTCTGTTTGGCTGATCCTGGAGATGCTTTTCTTATTCCTGCACCTTATTATCCAGCGTATGCACTGCCTCCTTTCGTGTACTTTCTTTGTTCATTTGGGGTATCTTCATTAATATTCCACCCACTCAATATCCATAACTCAAAGTGGGAAATAAATATAAAAGCAAACTTGCTGGAATGTTATATTATAGTAGCTCCGGTATTTAATTTAAGACTTTGTTTGACTTTTATTTTGATCTTAAATATAAGATTTCAATCTATTTTGTTTATCATATTTATGTATTTTTTCTCAAGGTAATCCTTTCAATAATGATAACTTAACCAATAACTTGATTCGCAATGATATTTTAAGAAAGGCAATACATATTTCTTACAAATAACTAACTTAACTTATTTTTTTAATCTCTTCAAATTAGTTAACTAGTTCTTATATTTAGGACGGGAGGTAGTATATAATAAATATTCTTATTTGGAGAATTCAGAATTGTATTCAGACTTCTGTTTCCATTCGCACATATAAAGCAACTTTTTTGCGAGTAAACTGCGGAAGTAATTTGAAAAGCTTTATTAGGGGAGCAGTCCAAAAAAGTGTGAATTATGTGCAATATATATCTAGATTATCAGATATAAATATAGTGTAAATAATAACAAAAATTATGTAATTGTCAACAAGATTCATATATACATGTGATGACATAAATATATAAATTATCTTATATATTTAAGCTTCTTTCTCTACATCTTGCTGGTGTAAGTGTTTGCAGAAAACTATATATAGAATATGCTAGTTTGGGGTCTGTGCGTTAACTAATTAAGATGCCACGTTATGTGATATATATATATATATATATATATATATATATGAAGTTTCTGTAACGTGGTGCTGAACCCTATAAATCACCGAATAACACTTTTACGTCCATACGCACACTCACACAAAAAATAAAATTAGAATATACTCCTCTGGTTCTTAATATAAGACCTATTTAACTAATTTGATTAGATTAAAGAAGTTAGGTAAGTTAGTTAATTATAAGAAATGTGACATGTTTTCCTAAAACACCATAATCATCTTTCTTAATACCTTCTCTCCCTCTTCTACTTGATTATGGTTGAGAGAATATCCGTAGGTAATTTAGAGAAAACTAATAAATATGAGAAATGGTTTTTATCTAATAAATATGAGAAAATCTTTAATACCAAAACTAACTCAATAATTAGGTCTTATATTAAGGACCGGAGGAGTATTAACTATCACATGCCTTTGAAGGGACAAAAAATGAATCATACTAATTTGTTTTGTAGTATAGAGTCATTTGTTATGGGATATATTATTGAGAAACAATGATGCTCCACTAGTTCTTGAGCCATCTCGTGTAGTTGTGGCTCCTATTTTCCCATATGTGTGAATGGCACGGACAAAGGGACATCCAACAAGTCAAAAAGAAATTTTCAATATAGATTTGATTGAATCATCCCGAAATAAGTCACCCAACATGTGGGGTTTCATTTTGAATTAAATGTCAGTGGTCCCTCCTTGTGCCTTTGATCAGGGGTAGAGACATAGCTACCTCGGTATACGACACAAACACGAAACACTGCAAAGGATCCGTGTCCTATACATGTAGCAACAGTCAGAAGCTGGATTCCTTGTAAACTTAATTAGTTTATCGAAGAAATGTGAAATTTCCTAGAACGCAGAAAAAACTCTAAAAACTTATGTCCTAGACCCACCTATTGTAATGGTTTGAGACAGGGCAAAATTAATCGATGAAGCTCATTTTTCCAAGTTTAGTGTGTTCTGAGGTGTAGTAGAGAGTAATGGCTTTGCTCATATATTTTTCATATTCTGTTGCAGATTTCCCCGCGACTTATGCTGGCGAACTCGGGCGCAAATAATCCCCGTGCATTGTGACAGTTCCAACAATTTCAAGATAACAAGGGCGGCTCTTGAAGCAGCTTACGTGAAAGCTCAAGAGGACAAGGTCAACGTGAAGGGTTTGCTCATAACAAACCCATCAAACCCTTTAGGCACCACGTTAGATAGAGAGACACTAAAAAGCGTCGTGCAATTTATTAATGAAAATAACATTCATTTAGTGTGTGATGAAATCTATGCAGCTACTGTTTTCAACTCCTCGAGCTTTGTAAGTATCTCTGAGATCATACAAGATATGGAGTTCTGCAACAAAGATCTCATTCACATCGTATATAGTTTGTCAAAGGACATGGGGCTTCCTGGATTTAGAGTTGGGATAGTTTACTCCAACAGCGACAAAGTGGTAAACAATGGCCGCAAAATGTCAAGCTTTGGATTGGTCTCCTCACAGACTCAGCATATGCTGGCTGAAATGCTTTCTGATGATGATTTTGTGGAAAAATATCTAGCAGAAAGCTCAAGAAGATTGGCTCAGAGGCATAGTGTTTTCACAAAGGGGCTTGAGAAGGTGGGAATTGCTTGCCTTCCAAGCAATGCAGGACTTTTCTGTTGGATGAACCTGAGAAGTATGCTGAAGGAACAAACACTTGAAGGTGAAATGATGTTGTGGCGTATGATTGTGGATGATGTGAAGCTGAATGTTTCTCCAGGCTCCTCTTTCAATTGCTTGGAACCTGGTTGGTTTAGGGTTTGCTTCGCTAACATGGACGAGGAAACCGTGGATGTAGCAGTAAAGAGAATCCAAGATTTTGTGGGGAAAGAAACAAAGAAACCGGTGAAGGGCAAGAATGATCAAGGCCTTAATCTCCGAGTCAGCTTCTCCTCTAGACGATTTGATGAGACTGTTTTGTCATCACCTCAAATGATATCTCCACATTCATCAGCTCACTCGCCCCTTGTTAAAGCCACTTAAACGGCCAGATTTACCATCCAAAAACAAAAAAGCCTTCAAATAAATCTCATTTATTTTAAGTGTTATGCCTAGATAACATTTGGTATCTGCTCGTTTTTCTAGCGTTGGTCTTTCCCTTTTTCCTCATTTCTCCCATTTATATTTGAATGCATAGAGCTTTCCAATGGGAGTGCAAATGTCCTAGCTAGTACAATAATGTTGATCAGATGTGTAGTTTGTCCAATGGACAGCTAACTAGTGAAATTGTATAACTATGAACAGAAGTTTCATTATACACTGCTAAGTTTGGCTGTTTCATGGATTAATCCTTGCTTGTGCGCAGATATGCTTGATAAACATCACTTCCTATTTTGATAGAGACCCAAACAACTAGTCTGATTAGTTATACAACCCGGGAAAATGTAAATAAATTTTTCCACATATCTACTAATCTGTATACTTGGGTGAGACTAATTATAGAGTTGAGGATTATTTAAGTGATCATTAAATTATGATGCGTTTGTAATCTGCTCATTCCCAATGTTATACTCCTCCGGTCCTTAATATAAAACCCATTTAACTAATTTGATTAGATTAAGAAAGTTAGGTAAGTTAGTTAATTATAAGAAAAGTGACACATTTTTCCTAAAACACCATAATAATCTTTCTTAATACCCCATTTCCCTCTTTTACTTGATTATGGTTAAGGGACTATCTATAGGGATAATTTAGAGAAAATTGATAAATATGAGAAATGGGTCTTATATTTATGACCAAAACCAACTCAACAATTGGGTCCTATATTAAGGACCGGAGGAGTATATGCTATGACAGAAGGAATGATAATGTAAGGTCTGTAAATGACTAAACTCAGGAAACTTCCTAGTCTTTTATTATTGTGCCTCTCATAAATTCCGTAACATGATGATGTGAATAGACAGCTCAGTCTAAGTGCTTGTCCACTCATCAAAATTGTTCCCAACTCATGTAAATGGACTTTTCCAACTTATCCGATCCATACTAAGTTAAAAAATAATAGCATCAATACATTAGGTAGGAGCTGAAAATATGCCCAGCAAAACAACAAAGACTAAATTAACCAGATTGTCTATGGACTTCATGTTGTTTTGAAGTGCTGATTTGAAAAATTCAGCCCCATGTTAAGTAGAACTTTATCGATAAAATTCCTAGACCGGAAAGCTCCACTATTTACCAAATAGAAAAGGAGTTTGCAAGTCTTGATACCCCGTATTCATAAATACATTATCTTGATAAGATTATTTATTATCTTGAACCTCACAAGGAAGGTGCTTTAATTTAAATTGTGCTAAGTATCTGCATGTATCTTGTTGATTTAAACTTACATATCCTTGTTTGTCTTCAATTTACATGAATTAACTTCACGACTACGCTTAAGCTGTGTGCATGAAATGCTGCAGAAACTTCCCTTATGAACAAGTTCTTTATTTTCTAATTCCAGACAGGATCCTATTCATCTGGTTAGGCGAATGTAATGCAAAAGGGACACAGTTATTGTAGCACAGGTCATTTTATTGAGTGTGAAGGAGACATAGTGACCCCCACACCAATATATGCAGCTTCTAACTTTTCTGTGTCAGCATTAGTGCAACCCACCACCCCTTTTAGCTTGATCATCCTCATATATATATAATTGGTTCTTGTCGGGGACTTTTTTTGAAGTCTTGTGTCAGAGAAATGAGTGATGATGCGCAGAAATATGAGAGTAGAGTTTGGTTTTTAAAGTACGACGTAAGAGATTTGTCATGTTTTAGATAAGGGAAGGATTTATGGAAATAGTGCTTTTCTTAATCTCACGTCTCGCCAATTACGAGTTTGAGAGAAATGATAAAAAGCTTAACCAGTGTTAGTTTAATTTCAGCCACACACATGATTTATAGAAATAGTGCTTTTCTTAATCTCACGCTGTAGATATGATTAATCCCAAGTCCAAGGTAAGTAATTAAGGTGTCAACCGTACGAAACATGCTCCTTAATTCATTAATGTGTGTGATCTGGATTGACTTAATGTTTTCGTGGGCTTTTCTTGCCGTCCGGGACATTGTTGTTTCTGCAGCGCCATGACAGTGACATTGGAAATAGGATGGTGCTGCCACACATGATCAGTTTAATGATGCTGCTCCTTTATTGGTGTTGACTTTTAGTGACTTGTGTAGTGCCTATTCAAAACACGAGTGACGACTACGTACAGTCGCTGCATTTATCAATTCACGGTCTCAATATTAAGGCAAAAACAAACAAACAATGAATGAATGGTAAAAAGTGTATCACATTAATCTTGTTTATAATGCATTCAGCATTCCAAAAATCAAGATATTAGATGTAACTAAAAAAATAACATTGTCAAAACATCTATGATATTCTTCTTTTTATTACAAGGACAACAAGTTCCATGATTCATACCAACCGAAGTCTTTAGCATTGAAGTTTGAACTCATACTATATGATGTAGAATTGCATCTTTGATGATTACACGAAGTTGCACTAATTAACTTGTTTAATTTTTATAATATTTTACAATGAATTTAATTAGTTAAGAAGTTAAAAGTTGGATATCACAAAGCTTTTGCAAGTAGTGAAGAGTTCTTGAAAAGAATTGCAGAATAAATTTTCGCTCACCAAAGATTTGGAGATGATAAGAATGTATAGAACTCCTTTTTGTCAGCGCGGCGGAGAAATTCTTGGATCAATTTTGATATACATCACATTTATTTAGTATGTTGGGGACTTTTGTTTTGGCCAATAAATAAATATATGTTGGGTACGCGTTTGTGATAATTTCATGTGCTACATCAAATTAATACTACCTCTCTAATCCTTACTATAGGAGCTCGTCTAATTTTTATTTTGATCATAATATAAGATCCTAATCTACTTTGTCTCTCATATTTATTTATTTTTTAAGGTAATCCTTGTGATAATGGTAGTTTTAGCCAATATACTTGATTAGTAAAAAAATTTTAGAAAATACAACACCTATTTATTACAAATAATTAATTTAACTAGTTTTCTTAATCTACTCAAATTAGTCAACTAGCTCTTATATTAAGAACCGGAGGTAATAGTTGACTCATTTTTAGAAATATCAGTGTCATTGGTTTCTAAATTAATTATTTTTGTAACTTTATTGTCAATTTTACAAGATTGTTTATCAAGGTGACCTAGCGTAAGATTTATAGATAGCTTGGGCTATCGCTTTGATGAGTACTGAAACTGATTTTGTCATATTGCAAAATTGGGTCATATTACCATAATAAGCTAGCCTATTGGACAAAAAAAAAAAAAGGCAAACAATATGATGACATTAGGGGCGCAATGTCCTTTGCATTTCACAAATATCTTTAGATGTGCGAGATAAAGAGAAAAACATGAAAGGAAATTAATTAGCATACCTAACCCACTGAATAATTACTCATCATAATCCCAAATTTTACACTTGATGAAGTAGACGTGTCAAAGGGGATGGTGGCACAAAGTGAAGTCTTTGCAATATTCCAATTTGCAACCTTATTTTCTCAGTAATTAAGCTCACCCACGAGACGTATATATCAGCTCTTCACAGAAGGCCTAAAATCTATTATGAGAGAAGATTCTTGCACGGGAGGGAAATAACATTATATTTCCTCAGAAAGTGGAGAATAAATCATTTATTAAAAAGGACTATGTGTGTGTATAGGCAGTGCTAAGAAACCTCCCAGGAGAATTCCACATAAAAAATAAAAAAAAGAGATTCCCCAGGGAGAAAAAATGGAGTGTTAATTGATTGTAAAAAAATACTATCTCCGATCCTAATTATAAGATCTTATTTGTAAATTATAAATGATATCTTATAATTAGCACCAGCGATATTATATATAAAAGAACATGGGAGGGAAATTAGTCAAATTATATATGGTTGAAGAATCGGACATATCCGATAAATTAGAAATGATGATACACATTAAAGATGGTCGGCACAGTGCTGGAAAGGGGATGCATATAACGATAAGACTCCCACGTGTAGTTCTTTTATTCTCTTCATGATGTGTATATGTATGTGTGTGTGTGAAATATCATTATACATAATATGTGTGTGTGTATAATTTGTGTTATGTAATACGCAACCTAGCTAGATACGATTTATAGCTTGCACGTTTATCCAACAGTGACAACCTCTTTCTCAGCACTACTATTACTTTCGTTTTCACCCTTTGTACATGTAGAAGCAATATGTACCAGTTAAAGATTTAGTGTAATTCTAAATATAAGATTTCAATCTATTTTGTTTTCAATATTTATTCATTTTACTTTCAAATAATATTTATAGTGATAACACATGCTAAGAGGTAATTCAATACACATGATTCGTAAATATATTTTAAGAAAGGAAACATCTATTTATTACAAATAATTAATTTAACTAATTTTTTTAATATTTATAAATTAGTTATTTAAAGAGCGGAGGTATTATATGTTAACGTTTTATAATATGAAAATACTATTATCCATTACTTTTTAATGTTTTTTCCTACTGTTTTGGTCATTTTAATTTGGTTTATTCTAACAACGAAAGGGATATGATCTCGTGCAGATCGAGAAAGGCATCAAATGCTGACGTTGAGAAATTTTGAATGCCAGGAACAAGGGGGCGTCAATTTGATCTGCTTATATTTTGTTATTATAGATTTGAATATTATTATTATTAAACTTGATTTAAAATAGCTCTGTTCAACAAAACAAAAAAAAGCTCCCTTAACGTGATCTTGTCTGACCAATTCGTGAATTTTGGGTGGGAAGTCCATATGCTTCAATCTTGTTTGAGTTATTCTTCAGAGAATTCTATTAAAATAGTTTGGTAGAATGAGCTGGTACTTATAACGTGATAAATGAATGCTTGAATTTCTACTAAGATAAAATGCTTATACTGTGACGTCTTGAGTTTTATTTTGAGTTTTAATAGCTCATTTAACCCTGATATTTGAGAATAATTGGTGTTTAAACTTGAATCTTGATGTTCGGTTTGAGATCAAAATAAGTTGGAGGAGTAGGTGAACAAATCCCTTTCAAGATTTGTTCGCCGTGACGAAGTTTCACTTCGTCGTGGCAAACCGGAGAGTATTGGGAGAGCTTCCTTTCGGGAATAAGGTTTCGTCACGGTGAAGTTAATAGGGACATCGCGACAAAAGTTGTCCAGATAAGCAAGAGTTCCTCTTGGGAAAAAGTTATTGCCGCGGTGAAATGTGTTTTGGCCGCGACAAACTTAAGTTTCTGGGTTAGAAAATCCCTCTCGGAATTAGTTAGTCGTGACAAAAGCTTAGGTTCGTCGCGACGAAAAGGTCACGTCATTAAATACGAAGAAAGGGGTCTTATGTGTGAAAATTAGATTTTCTGGAGGTAGGAGTTGGAGCTTTGCTAGAGCTTCGTGTTTTTGGCTTGTAGGAGGTGTTTCTAAGGGTCTATTTCCTCAAGTAAGTGATCTTAACCTCTAATCTACTCTTTCTATTGAGATTTTTTAGGATTTTGTAGAGGAATCTTAGGGCTTTCTAGTTTATGATGGAATTGAGGTTTTTGACCAATTGTTTTGTGTTTAAATGATTACTATGGGTTAGTCTAAGTATTTAATCGGTTTAGTTTTCTTGGATTTGAAGATTTTGAAGTTTTGGGAGTTTGGGGTTTGTGAAAATGGAGGTTTATGATTGAGGATGATAATATAGTGGTTGAAATTGAGTTTTGTGAATTGGGTTATGTCAAGAAAGGTTGAATTAGATGTTTAATCTGTTTAGAATGTTGTTAAGACTTCAATTGTTCTAATTGGATGTTTGGATGATGAATTCCTAGAGTGGGACTTTGAGTTTTTGAATTCAATTGATGTTTTGGAAGGGGAATTAGAGTGATAATGGTCTTTTGTGGTTTTTGGAGTGTTATTATGATGGTTTGGCTGTTGTGGGTTAGGTAGAGTTTTGGTTGAGACTAAGAATTTTGACTCCCCAAGTGTTGTGTTGACCATTTATTAGTTTGAAAGCTAATACATGGTGATTGTGTGTTTATGTGCTTATGTAGACTAGTTGTGAGTCTTGTTGGTGCACGGGGTATTATTGGTGTTTCGTCATTTCTTGCTCAGGCGAGAGGTAACCACTTTCCAATCCTTTGTATGTGCTGTTATGGTACTGTGAGTGGTTCTATGTTTTTGTGCTCCGAGTAATAAATGGTGTTCTAAATGTATTTTATATATAGAAAGAGAAATTGTCTTGTTGGGTTTTGCATGATTTTAAGGTATTGGAAGATATGTCACTTGTTGAAATTCCTTAAGAAATGCAAACTTATTCATTGGTAATACTTGAGCATGATTCATATTGGGTTGGCCAGAGGCCATTTGTTATGTTTCATGACGTTTTGGTTTAAGTTGACAAACAAGTGGATTGGCTTATATTTGATATCTTTTGTTATTCGGGTCGAAGGCCCAATAGATTTAAAGGAATGATTTGGTTGCATGCAACAGTTTTGTTTGGGCGTTGGCCCTCAGTCTAATTAGCAGTTTTAGAAATGTTTACATATTTTCTTTTCTACTATGGTAGCTGGTATAACAGTTTTCCTTTTCTACCATAGTAATAGTTTTATGACGAATATATAATGTTTTTAGATAAGAAGTTTTACATATACTACCTCCGATCGTAATTATAAGAGCTAGCTGACTAATTTGAGGAGATCAAGAAAAGAAGTTAAGTTAGTTGTTCGTAATAAATAGATGGTGTCTTTCCTAAAATATCCTTACTAATTAAGTGTATTGACTATAACTATCATTGTTAGAAGGACTACTTTGGAAAAAAATACATAAATACGAGAGACAAAATGGATTGGAGTCTTATATTTAGGACCAAAATAAAAGTCAAAGAAGGTCTTATATTAAGGACCGGAGGTAGTATTTAGTATCTAAAAATACCTCAAATAGAATTATCCTCAAGAGTATGCCTGTGACTTGAAGCAATAAAAACAATAATAATAATAATAATAACAATACTTCGGCATTAGCTGTCATGTCATTAGATAAAGAAAATCCCCAAAAAAAAAAAAACTACTTTGTTCTTCTACCCACTTATCTTGATCAGGCTTAACCAAACCCACTTGCTTCAATGGTGAAATTGAAAATGGGCCGGCCCATTAAAGTCAAGCTCCTTCAACAATTTTATAATGACGTTTCGGCCCATTAAAACAAGAGGGGCATGCAAGTATACAAATTAAGAGATTGTAGTTATGCAAGAAAACTTTGGCTTGCTATATTAAAACCTACTGCCTATCAACGATTTTTTTCGGCTGCTCTTACTGATTGGGTTGCCATGAATCTAAGAAATAACTTTGGCAATGATCTGGACGTGGAATGGAATATTATGTGGGGATTAGCCATATGGAAGCTTTGGCAGTGGAGGAATGAATTTATTTTCAACAGTGATTTTCATAAGCCACGCAATCCTGCCTTGTTTGTTCTCAATATGTGGTCCTCCTTTGCTGGTAAAAAAGTTGTCGAGAATCAACCTGTTATTAAGATACATTGGCAGTTGCCGCCACCCACACTTTTCAAACTGAATTTTGACGGAGCAAAGTTCAATTCATCTCAGTTGGCAGCTTGTGGGGGCCTTATCTGTGATCATGAAGGCACTTGGGGTCTGGGATTTTCTTATTATCTTGGTATCTGTTCTCCCCATGAAGCTGAGGAATGGGGAATATTAAAGGGTCTCAATCTAGCAATTCAAATGGGGTTCAACATTCTTGTAGTAGAATCTGATAACCAGAATTTAATACACTCCCTCACAAATTGGAATTCTCACTCTACAGCTTGCTTGACAACTCCATTGCTTTCTTTACTGACAGAAGTTCATCTCCTAGAAGTGTAATATCATTGCAGATGCTCTGGCCAAGATGGGTTTCACTAGCACAGCCATCTATGACACAACTCCTAACTTGAGGACTCTGGTGCAGAAAGATTTATTGGGATTGCAATTCCCTGCTACTTAGTTTTCTATTTTAGGCTTTTTGCCTTCTTGTATACCAAAAAAAAAAAAAAAAAGAACGTGGTGACAATATAAATTAGGTCCTATACAATTGAGTGTTCGCAAATCTTCTCAAGATATATTTTTATATTTTATAACATAAAATTTCTCTCACATGTTTATTTGGATGGAAGTGTCATTTCCGCTAATTAATTATTGGGTTAGATTTGATTAGTTATTGGGTGGCATAATTTTTGTTTGATTAGGGTTTTGTGGACGTTATTAATAACTTTGGGAGGATGAAGATGACTAGGATCGAACATCATCCCACCGACCAAAACATCCAATCAACTCCACATATCATCATCAATGACCTGGATTACTTATTAATAATTATATGATTAGTTGTTCTAATCTTGCCCAAAGCATGCTTTATGCTGTGTTTATAATTTTATATCACTCCAACCAAAATCCCCCCCCCCCAAAAAAATTACAATCACAAAAAATGCTTTCTTCCTCACAACATTAAGATAATACTCTTTGTACTATCTTTCAAAAAAATTTTTTTTGAAATGACTGAATCGATATTTCATATATTTTGATGCAAGAATTTTGTTTTATTTATATATTTTTAATATATAATTATGATGTTAGTAGAGACAAGCCAATCTTTAAGATTAAACTTTACAAATCGAGCTTGCAGAAACATTTTCAAAACCACTAGAGGAATACAAACAAATTTCTTTTTTGTATGCAAGCATTATTATAAAAATCCCTATTAAAAAATTAATAAAAAGAATAGACCCAAAGTTAAACAAAAGATAGATCAAAAGTAAAATTCAACCCATTACAGTAAGGTAATAAATAATCAGAGGGGGAGCATCAGAGCATGGCCTCCGAACACAGTTCCTATTCTGATCATTAATGATTAAATAATCAGTTAACACTAATTAATAAGATGCTTAGCATTTTAAGTGTACGAGAAGCACAAAACAGTGACAAGGGAGCTTACATGTGGATTGATGAAACCAGAAGCAAGGATTCCCTGCCAACCAAACTCTTACAAAATTATGAATTAAGAATTTTAAAATTTGCGATTATTTTTCATCATCATCACCACCCCTAAGTTTTTCAGAATTTTTCAGATTTGATTGCAAAAAATTTAAGGGATATTAAAATTTTAGAAAACTTAAAATTAAAAAAATCTTTATGGAAAAAGTGGTAATAACTTTAGTCTCCACCCTTTTAATTTATCCCAAATCTTTAGTTGTGTAAAAGTTAAGCAGGTTACTTTGTCTCTCAAGACGATGCAGAACCAAAAAGTAAGTTATGGGTAAGAATATGACAATACTTTTATATTTAGAGTAACAGAAGATTACATTACTTTAACGATACCCCACTAAGTATTGTTAAGAAGAAAAGGGAAAGAGTGGATCTGATAAATTTTGGTTGAATACGACTTGGAGATAATAAAACAACCCATGATTCTCCATGCAGAAAACTCCATGCGCTACCCGCCTCTCAGAGCTGGATGCTGTCAACCTCATGAAGGCCATTAAAAAATAACTAAATAAAAATGGGATTTTTTTTCTCTCTCTAGCCAACTGAGTTCCTTAAACATTGAGTCAGGAGTTTTGATCCCTGACTTAGGAGAAGGTCTCGTGACTAGCATTAATGCCCCCTTTCAGGAAGTCTATAATGTGAGAGGATTAGTCATTATTATCAATAGGTGGATACTGAAGCTCAATTAAAAAAAAAAAAAATTTACAGTGCATTTGTTGTGTAAAGCTCATCATGATGTCCCCTGTTAACAAAACTTCAAGGGGGTTGAAAGTCTGTCTATTTTATGTGGATTGAGCATACAGACACATCATGTGACATCAATCAGATCAAAATATGAATCTAGGCCATGAGGAGCTTAAGGTTTTTTTAAACTCTGCATTGTAAAGGGGGAATCAGAAACAGCTGTAAAAGGAAAAAGTTTAATCTCAACCTCAGAGTCTCTCTCCACATGTCCCACATGAGGACAGGCTCAAGGACCAGACGAGAACCACAGAATCATTGAAATCATTTTCTTGTTTGTTTCAAGTGGTGGAAGATGCACACTGGTTGATTAGATTAGGACTCGCGCCCCATCTAACACAATGATGATACAAAATACTCACTCTGCTCGTACTTTATCTCTGTATTTTTTTCTCACCATCCAAAAAGATAAATTACTGGGTTTACCCGCGTGTGATGGCCATTCAGGCAACTATTTTTCTCACCTTTTCACCCTATATTTTTCTCATCATTCAGACAGATGAATTACTGAGTTCACTGGTGGGTTATCCATTCATGGCAAGCAACTATTACTGGGAAAAAGTAAGAATCATAATTGTGTTCGGAATGAATCCCCTCAAACAGTAAAGGAGTATGACAACTTTTTCTACCCCGTATTTTTTCTCAATGTCCAAACAGATAAGTTGCCGGACTAACTAGCAAGTGGTTATGAATTCAATTAACTGTTACAGGGAAAGAGTATGAATTACATTTATGTTCCAAAAAAGGAATCCCCCAAAAAATCTTATTCATTTTGCTCTACACATTACCAATATTGTCTCAAAAACAACTCAACCGAAGCATCACCATATTATATACACAAGAGTACCTATATTCTTGGCTTTGGCCTACTACATGCATGATTTCTTTCCCTCATGCTTGGACAGCTTGATAATTAATCATCAACAAATTGTACAAGCATTGGGATTCTCTTCCATGCTTTGGACATAGTAATATGTTGTCATCTGGGGATTATAGGCCCTGTAAGCCCTGACCAGCTCTAAAATCGGGTCTGGAACTGGCTCTTTCTTTTTCTCTTCTTCTTTCTTCTCCTCCTTCTCTTCCTTCTTCTCTTCTTTTTTCTGTTCTTCCTCTGGCTTGTCTTCTTCTTTCTTGGGCTCCTCCTTCTTTGCATCTTCCTCCTTCTTTGGTTCTTCTTTCTTCTCAGGCTCCTTTGCCGGTCCTACTGAAACTATATCCGTCTGCCAGTATTTGCGTAATTTGCTAACCACATGAACAGGATCCACTGTTCCTATCACTGTTAGCGTCCTATCCTTCATTTCCATGGAGATTGCATCTATCCCTACATGATTGCAAAAGTTTACAGCACAGAGTTTTTATGCTTTGAAAATTAACTTCAAAAATTACCCTCAGGACAAGCACCAAAATCTTCTTCTTTCTTCATTTAGCTAGAGATTTACGACAACTACACACAACCAACTAGACCCAAGACTTTTAAATATGAATTTGAACATCTCTAAATGATGCCTCGTTGTAGGTATAAGACTGAAGTACGACAAAAACCATAAAAGACTACCCCTTCTGATTCTAGCAAGTTTCTTCCAAAATACGAAACCCTTTTTCACCATATTTTAAGGGAACCCGAGAACAAGATCTTGACATACTAACAAATAATACCTTCATCTCATTGAAGATGAGGAAGGCTCTACATACGATTTTCCTACCCCACACCTGTGACCTCGTGCTAATAATAACAATGAAAAATTGGATTACATATGTACATGAAGTGAGACTCTGGTTCATTTATTTTTATCTTCCATCATCTTTACAATAATTCATGGGTGAAATTCTAACAAACTAAGCCTGGGATCATTTTACTTTCTCTGATTCATTTTGCAGGATGGATACAAGGCTTAATGAGGCGGTTTTCTCTCTCTAAGCATGGACTTTGGTGGAAACAAAACGTAATGGATAAACAATGATATGGTACCTGAAAGTGTTGAGACTGTTTTCAGGGCCTTCTGCTTTGCCTTGTCATCATGCAGATCTAACTTGAGCACAACCTTCTGTAAGCATACATCAGAGAGTAATTCAGCTCGGATTCATATAATCTTCCGGGAATCATGCCCAGCAGTTCAAGAATTTTACAGAGTAACACGCAAAATATAAGCTTTGAAAGGGAAACTCAAAAGCCAGATATTCTCTTTCACCTACAACCAGTCCGTTCACATCGCTAAGCGAACAAATAAAGAAGAATCTCACAGGGACAGCGTAACACGAAATCTAAGCCCAGGAATATGAAGTGGGAATACCCAGATTCATGTCAGATACAAACCCCAGATCTTCAAATAAGCAAAAGTTCGTGGAGAATGAGAACCCAATGGAATCATAGTTCAGAAGTGATGTATTCTCGTCTAGGAAAGGAACGCAGAAAATGAAGATGGAAGAAAACGGAAGTAATGTTAAAAAAAACGGAAAAAGTGGGAGAACCATACCTTCATTTCTAAATACTCCGCGGGGACAAGCAGAGAGAATGGAAAAGGAAGAAGAATTAACTGAAATGGAGGATGTGGGTGGGAGACAGAGATCGAGAGAAAGGCGAAGACGTAATCAAATAATGGTCTGAAAAGGATGGCTGGAAAAGAAGGAAGGAGTGGTACTATCAGAAAAGCCGAGAGAAAACAAGGAATTGCAGAAAAGGAGAGAGACGGAAAAGTTAGAGGGAGGGAGAGGAGGAAAGGAAAAGCTGAGAAGAATAGGTTGAAGAAATGGATGCAATGGGTGGTGATGAGATATAGGCCCGAGAGACTGAGCCGCTCTGTGCATGAAGGCAGTGAGCTTCGATATCAGCAAAACCAATAAGCCACGCGACGCAGGAGAGCGCGTGAGCATGACTGACCGTTGAGTTTGGGTGACCCCCTGAGAGTAAAAGTAAAAACAGAAGAAAAGACAGAGCTATAATTGTTTTTCTAAAAGTACTCTTTGTAGATACCCAAGATAAACTATTCTGTACTTTTAAAAAATAAATAACAAATAAATGCTTAGGGCATCATGGTCAACAAGTAGGATATATGTATCGACATGTTTTTTACTCCGAATGCATAGAATTTGGTAAGACAGTAGTACTGCTATCATTTAAGTGGCATCATAATAACAATAATAATATAAGAATTGACGTAATATTTAATTTAATTTTAAATATAAAATTTTAATTTATTTTATTTTTTAAATTTATTTTTTTTAAAGTAGTTCTTATAATGATTACACATTATATTAAATAATAATTTTAATTAATACATATAAATAATAAATATATTTTAGAGAATACAATACTTATTTATTACAAATAATTAATATAATTAATTTTTTAACTTACTCCAATTAACCAACCAATTTTTATATTAAAAATCCGGGGCGCAGTATAAGCATAGCATTTGGTAAAAGTAGGAGTTTTCCATGATGTAAGCATATATTCTTTAGTCAAACAATTTTCTTAATCGTCTCGACATGTAAAGAAACCAAAGAAAAGCATTCAGGCATTTGAATTTATATTTTATTATTCATTTTTCAGTTAAAACGTAACATGTTTGAAATTGTGTTCGAAGAATCCTATGACCCATGATTTTAGCCATTTAAAGTATTAATTATAAAAACATAAATTATACTCAGTTATTATTTATAATTCGCGTGGTTATGAAGATTCCAGTTTGCCTTTGGGAGATATCTTTCTTTTTTATTTTGTATATCTGAGTCACATGATCGTTGGCCAAAAAAATTCACATGATTTAAACATTCAAGGAAAAAAAACAAACAAACAATAAAACAACTCTAGATATTTGTTTAGGTACAATAATGCTAACCTATTGTCTTAATGGCATTATATATCTTATAAAAGAAATGACTTTCTGGACACAAATTTGTAATAAAATGACGTTACAATTTAAATATTCAGTCAAATACATCATCAGATCAATTATTTTAAATAATTATATAAAATATGCAATAAAATATAATTTTAAATTTTGAAACTACATAATAATTCAAATTTGTCAAATACCTAAATAATTATATATATGTCACAATGCGGGCAAAAGGCAAATGTAGACGCATCACACTAATTATCCGCAAATTGGACGGAGATAAGGTGCTTTAAAGTTCGAATCATATGGTCCTCTTTTTAGTTGAAAGATTAGAGTAATATGGATGCAATAGTACACTTAAGGATAAGGATTCATTAATAAATAATACACTAATTTTATATAAAATAATACCTCTTTCACAATAAAACTCTTTTCATAAAATAAATAATATTTTTTTATTTCTCTGATCTTAGTACTATCAACATCAAATAATTAATTAAGATGGTAAACAGTCTTACTCCCATAAAAAGAAAAACATAAGTTTGAATTTCAAAAAGAAAGTTTTAACTTTTATGTTCCCGATTCAACAAAAATTAGTTTTAAATTCAAAGTCATAAAAAAAATCAAATGATAATTTTTTGACAATTATTGTTATTTTTAAAATTAAATTTAACATATAAACATCTTCAAAATTTAAAAATTTAACTTCGTATTTTTTATTAATTATGCTAGGGTTAAATAATTTAAAAACACTTTATAAAATTTTAAAAAATTAAAATAAAACATGATATAAAATTAAAAAATTAAATATATAATTAAAAAAAAATAAAGTTGAAGATGAGGACGCCAGCAATATAGCGGACCATCTTTTTAATAATAATTTTCGACAACACGAATTATTAACGTTACAATAATTAAAACACCTGCAGGCATAAAATGGCTGCAAATATTGATGATCATCTAATAAATAAAATATATATCATTTTATAATGTTAGCATTAAATAAGCATGCATTACAATTGATTAAAATAATAAAAAGTTAATTAGGGAGTATTATAAAGTGTACGTATAACTATTTTTAAGGCATTTTTTTAAGTTTATTATGAACATGAGCTGGAGTTTTTTTCAAGAGTCAGTGGTTTAGTACAGACACCGTCTGAGCTGCCACGTCAGGTGGGCCCCATGGGCGGTGCCCGACTATTAGTTGAGTCATTCTCATTTCTCAGTGGCGTGCCGTATGCTACTGCGCCTAACTGGCACTGAACGTCAGCGCGTGAGCCCACCTCCCAATAGCAAGTTCCTCTCTGATGTAGTACTGATTTTCATGAAATTATAAATATGAAAGTAAATTCTAAACAATAAAAAATTTGACCGGATGAAACTTTCATTTGTACCAAAAAAAAAAAAAGCACTGGATTGTATTACCTATAGTTTTTAATATATGAGTTAAATAATTAATATGTGAAAATTTAAAAAACCATTAAGTTGATTATCTATAATAAAATATGTATTGATTTTCATGAACTATGCTTTTTAATTTGATGAAAAGATGTTTTAAAAGAAAAACTATAGAATTAAAAAATAAAATAAATTAAAATTTTATATTTAAGTTCAAATATAACTTCTAATTAGACTAGACATAATATCAATTTTGGGTGAGACCATGACAACGGGAAATTCTCACAATGGCCTTTTCCCCCCTTTTTCGAAAGTGAACATCGTATTCTTATGGGTTTGGCGTCTGATCATTCATATAGTTAAAACCATGTGAATAACCAATTTCATTGCTCATTGACGCGGTGATGATTATTGCAATGAAATCTAAATGATTTAAAATTAGTTTTAACGGTTTGGATTTAAAATTTTTAACAAGTAATTTTTTAATAAAAAATTTTTTTTAAAAACTTACAGTTAAAATATTATATTTATTTTAGATTATATACCTCTTAAAAAATATAATTTACAAAACAAAAAATGTTAAATATTAAATCTCAACCTTTCATATTAAATTTAAATAGTTGACATAAGATAAGTATCATGGTGCTCATTATTGCGATGAACATTAAAACTGGTTCTGTATCTACGTTGATTGTAATAACACACGCATAAAAAATCTGCGTAACTTTGTAAAATAATTTTTAATGGGTAATTATAATTCAAAAAAAAACATTATTGTTGTGAGTAATAATTCATTTAAATTTTTGTATTGATCTATCCATATTGGTAATATTTTTGCAAGTTTAGGGGTTATATACATATTATTATTATTACGATGATGATGATGCCTCATGCGCAAGTTGGCCTATTGGAATCCAAGTCTAGTATGGCAGCGATTAGACAAATAATAGAAATGTGTTTATGAATGTATATACATATATAATTTTATGTTATATACATTTTAATTAACATGAATAAATAGACCTGAAATACAAATCATGGTTGGCCCAAAAAAAAAACAAAGAAAGAAGCACAAATTATGGTTTGCAATTGTGTATTAAGTACTATTTCCATCTCATTTTGGGAAATTTTTTATTTAATTTCTTACTCCTATGATTAGGCTCCAAAAAGGCGTGGCACGCAGCAGGCTGAATGCCCACGGCCACCCACAACAGAGTAATTGCCACGCAGGCTCTACCTTCCTTCCACGTGGAATTTTGAATGCCACTCTCTCGGACAAATTTCAGTCTGAAATTCTCAGTTTTATAAAATAAAGGCCAAAATATATATTTGGTCTTTTAATTTTACATAACATTTTAATTTGACCCCTTAACTTTCACAGTTTGGTTCTTTAATTTAAAAAAAAGTATATTTTTAGTCATTTATTCTAAAATTATTAGTTTTAAATGATAATTTTTTATAATAATCATAGTTGTTTAAAAATTAAATTTAATATTATATTACCTTCGGTGTTTAATATAAGGGTTAGTTAACTAATTTGAATGGATTAAGAAAGTTTTTTAAGTTAGTTATTTGTAATAAATAAGTGTTATTTTTTCAAGACTACCCTTGCTAATCAAATTTATTAACTATAACTACTATTACTACAAGGATTATCTTAAAAAAAAGTGGATAAATATTAGAAACAAAGTCAATTGGAGTTTTAGTCAAACAAGCTCTTATATTAAATACTGGAAGTAGTAGCATTTAGTAATGTTTTATCAATATTCAAGAGTTCAATGTTATCGTTTTTTATTAATAGTTTTAGGATTAAATCACTAAAAGTTTACTTTTTAAAATTAACGAATCAAAATAAAATTTTATATAAAATTAAAAAGACTAAAAATATATTTTAACTTAAAATAAATAACGGTTTCTCAGATGTTAAAATAAAAATATACCAATAAAAAATGAATATCACTTGGGTCATCTTCTCGGGGATGGCAAAGAATTAGTTTTTGACAGTTGTCCTCGTCACCAATTTTTTCCTTGTACGATCCACATCACTATTTATTTTTAGTTCATTTTTATAAATTAATTAACTTTAGTTCTTTTTTTTTAGCTGGTAATTAACTTTAGTTCTACTCACCAGCTTTTTAATTCAATCCATTCTTCTGTATTTGAATATTTATTAAAAAAAATAAATTATAAAACCCATACCTCATCGTCTTTTCATTAATTAACGAGTTATAAATATTGGGCCGTCAAACCAATATCCGCTGCCATCAAATGCAGAGAGCAACGCAACGTGTACCTGTTGTTCCTTGCCATCTTCCATTAATTGTTTTTTTTTCTTTTTCTCTGTTTTATTAACAAAAAATTCTTAGTCAGCAGTATAGTGAAGGATAATCTTTAGAAATTTGAGTTGTTTTTTTTTTAAAAAAAATTTAATGCCATGCTCTCTGTGACAACCATTCTTTTAAAACCCATTTAGATCAAAATTTTCAAATCCCCGTGGTTTAACATTTTCAGGCGAT